CATAAAATCAACTGAACAGGATGTACTGGCATTTAAAAAATTATTCGTAGGTAATCTAACACTTAACCAAGGAGTAAAATTGGTAGGTTTTATATACAACTTCTCACATAATATCTCAAATATAAAAGAATTCATCGCACTAGAATCAAAAAATACTTTAACAGGTAAATCTGAGATATTTTATATACCTGTCACCACCTCAAAATATTCCTTAGCCTCTTGAGAAGTTAAAGCAAATACTCATGATGCTGTTGATCTAACTGCTTCATTTGAGGTTTCTCCTTTTATCTTCAAAGCAGGTTGATGTAAGGGTGGCCTAACACCTCTGTACTGCTCTATCCTCTGACCGCATCTAAATTCCTTGCCTCCCTAAACATTCCTTGAACAATTTCTCTTGATGTGACTTGATTCTCCACACAAATAATACTTTCTTGAATTCATTAGGCATCTTCCTGGATGAGATTTTTCAAGTTGCACAAACTGATATCAAAGGAAACCTTGTAGACTGATGTTGTTGCCTCTGATGAAATTTCTGCTTTTTGGATGATCCACCTCTGTGATCACTTTGTCTCTTTCTATCATTATTATCTCATTTCTACTTAACCACTTATATGTCATTCTCTAATCTGGCACTTTCTACCAATTCAATGCGGAGAGGAATTAATGTTTGTCTAATTGAATCCCTCAAACCTTTTAAAAATCTGTAGCATTTTTCTTTTGAAGTAACGATCATATATGGATCACGCTTTGACAAAGCTGTAAATTCTGCTTCATACTGTATATCAGCCCTTGCTCCCTACTTAAGGTTCACAAAACTTTCTTGCATTTCCTGCCTTGCTGATGGAGGAACATTACCACCCTCTGAAAACTTGTTCAAATTCTTCCCACATAATTTGCTCATCTTATTTACCTCTAAATTTCTCCAATTGTTGTCCCCTCCACTACCTTTCAGCTTCACCTTCTAGCATAAATATTGCCATGGATACACGTCGGTTTTCAGGGCATCTCACTCCATTTAAAATCTTCTCTATTCGGATGATCCTGTCTTTTGCACTTCTGGCATTCACTCCTCCTTTAAACAATTGAGGTTTTAAACTCTGAAAGAGCTTTAGATGCTTATCTGCTTATGCTCCCACAAGATCACATGTCTCAACATTTGTACTATTACCAGGAGTGGTAGGAGTAAGTGATGTAACTACATGTGAAACGTTAGGTGTTGTAGATGCCACCATAGACTGCATCTTTTCCATCATCTGCATCATTATATTCATCATTTGCATTTGCATTAAGTTCCCTTACATTATACTAACATCATCTATTCCTGCTAGTGTAGGGTCTACATAGGGTGCACTGCCTCTTACTGGAGCCACATTTTCAGGATCCTTAGAGATTCTAATAGGCTGAGATGACTGTCCTTCAGTTCCTTCAGGTATTCTATCAGCCATTAAATCTGCAATAAATTACATCAAGAGTTATGCATTTATAATCATGTATTCCTAGTTATAAGTTTTCATATGCTTACTTACAATCCCAAAATAAAGTTACATATAATTCAATTGAAGTTAGACTTATCTTTAACTTAGGAATACTATACTCTCCTAGGCTTTGTAATCATTCCATCAGATCTCATCTTAATTTTCTAGACAACTTGATTTGTTTATGCTTCCGTAATTAAATCCTCATAACCTTAAACATTTGCTTTGATATCACTTTGTAATCACCCACAGTACCCCTGAACAGTACTGTAGAGTGTAACAAATAAAACAACTTTTTTTATCTTATAATCATTTGAAATAATCCATCAGTTGCATGTTTACATATAAACATATCATAAACCTCAACTAGTACATCAACGAAAGCACTTAAAAGTTTCAAGCATTCATAAAATATAATTATAGAGCCACTAAAGAAAAAATCAAACAAACACTTCATGGGTATATTAACATACTTTAGTTTAGTTTTACAAACAGAAATAAAATTAACATCTAGGATTGAAATATTTGAACCTAGTTAGCAACCACTTTTTCTTTCCCTTTTCTTGTAACAACAGCAGTAATGAAAATCCTAGTGAGCTATAAGGCTCGGCAAGTTATGCAGCTGTAAATAGTATTAAACTTGTATGATAAAATTTTATAACATAAAAACATAAATAAAAATTTAAACTACTTGAGAAACCACATAACATCTCATTTGGCATTACCTTTAACTTTTTCTCTTAGATCCATAATGAATATTAATTTTTCTCATTAAAGATTTGGCTATTCTTTCATAAACAAATTCAATGAAGCCCAAATAAACCTGGCATTAACGCCATTGAATTCCATAGAAGTCTCTTTTGCGTCTTTAGGGGTCCCTTTGCCCCACCTGCTATGCTTGTATCATTTCTTTTGGGGCTCCTTTTGCCCTACTTACAAGGTAGTTACATATTTGGGAACCCTTTTGTCCCAACTATCCTTGTAAATCATACACCATATATATAGCCAAATTTTACATTAAATTGACATTCAATTCACTTTTAGAACATAACTCGTACTTGCATTGTTGCTTTCATAAAGATCTTTATATGCTACTTATTTGAGTAATGAAACTGTGTACCGTATGTTAAGAATGGAGATTCTTTCCAAAATATTTCCAACTAGTAAAATCTTTAATGAACATAACAACTCTTATTTGAAAGTCTCATGATTCAAATATATAAGAGGTCTTTTATATATGGAAACTAAGTTAGGAACATATCTTAGCCAAAGAATTATTTGTAATGCATATTTCTCTTACAATCATTTAAATACCAATATACAATGTAAAATTAACAAGAATTATATTTAAAACTTTAATTTGCATTACTTACCTTCTTGACGAGTTGACTTTTCCAATTCTACACCACTTAACTTCCTCCTTTGATAAATTCTCCCAAAACTTTCTTTATTCATAAATGTGACAAATCCTAAAACACATTTAGGATACATTCATTAGAACTTTACTGTAAAAGATAACTACAACTTTTGTAATACAAAGAACTACTTACCTCTATCAACTTCTTTCAATTGCCCTCTTTCCTTTCTCTTCTCCTCTAAACATTTCTTGGCTTCTTACTCTTCTAAACTCTCACATAATATTCTCTTTTGGTTGTAGTTTCCTCTCAGCAAAATAATTCTCATCTATAGCATGTACATCATAAATGATCCTTAATTCTATAAACAAAATTCTGCTTTAAAAATTCTGCACTAATTAAATCTACTTACTAGGGCTATTTTAGTTGAAATCCTACTATATATCTCTGCTTCTTGCTGCAGGAGACTTCCGATGCTTGCTATAGGAATCCAACCTACCAAAATCCTTTTTTTTTTGCTTACCAAGCCACTAAGACGATCCCTTTACAGCCATTGACTTGCGTCTAAATAGATAAAGAGCTCTGTTGTTCAAAGGGAATTCAAAACAGAAAAAAAATTGCTCCATCAACTGGCTTACAGCTCCTTCAGTAAAACTTCCACTGTGCCTCCACTTATGCCTACAACACTTTGCCGCATTCACTCGCTAATAAGGCTTGCGGGAATGTGAATTCCAAACTAGAGAAATAACTTTATTGCCTAAGTGAAATGGCCAAGATAAGGAATTGTAGATAATTGCAAGAGAGGGCCCACACACCATTATAATTGGTTTTTAATCTTATCCTTTGAAAGCATCTATTCAACATAAGCATAATAGTAATATTACAAATATTCATCTCCAATAACTGCTATTAATTAAATTAAATTTTCATTTTTAAATTAATTAATCATTTGATTGTTTATATAAAATTTAGAAATTTTTTGTAAAATACTTACTTGGGTTTTACACTTTTAAGATTAAATGGACACTACATAACTTATAATTGACAACTAATATTATGTTTAATCACGAGTTTATACAAGATTAAGTTAATTATCTAGGTTCAATAACAACAGATGTTTCAGTTGTTTGATGAATAATGAAGTTGATATAGAATATTGAGGATGATGGGAGATGGAGGTTTTCAAGGTTGATCATGAGTAATCTTATAAAAATGAAAAAATTTTGTGAAATATGGAGAAGATATTAATTCAGCTATGAGGTTTGAAGGGGTGATATCAAGAGGAGGGCATTGTAGATGTTTTAGTGATATGTGTTGTGAAGTGTGAAGGCTTGTATAGGTGATGAGCAAAATTAGGGTTTGATATGAAAGTGAACTTTTGAGAGAATTATAAATCATGTATTGGTGTGGAGATTGAACCCATCCTTGGAGAAGATTTTATGATTTTCTTATTGTAATGGGAAGGCTAAAGATGGAGAAGCAGATGATCAACACGAAAAATGGAGTGTATCTACAATGTACGAAATTTTCACCCATATATGTATGTTTTAATAGCTGATGTCCCATCCAACGAACACTCATAAGAAATTTATAATTTTATGCGGTTCATCCTGATCTATTGGTTGGAAGCTTTAGCTACCAATCAAAAGGTCTTGATTTTGAAATTGTGTATGTAAAATGTGTAAGAGTTTATTTTAATTAGCTCAGAAGTCCAAAAAATATATAATTTTAAATTACATTTTTTCATATTTTTAATTAAAAAGTAAATTTTATATTCAAATATTTTAGTTGTTTTATCAAGTTGAATGTCTTGAGTTTATGAGAAAATGATTTAAAAAAAACAAATATGATTGATTGAAATTTATTTTTCTGAGTAATTTATTTTTTGCTTTTTCAAGAAAAAATTCTTTCAATTGAAATCTGATTAATTTTAATATCATTTTATTTCTTACATTGGATATAATAATTTTTTTTAAATACAGTGTATATTATTAATAATATGATTATTTATCAATTTTTAATACTTATCTTAAAATTTGTCATCATATCTTGTTTTTAAAATTATTCTTATTTTAAAATCCCCGGAAAGCTGGTTTTTAGTTTTTACTGCCCGATCTGAACACGTGTGATTCTCGCACGTGCGACGTTTAATTTCTTACTCTGCCGGATTCTTATGCTTTCGAACAAAGCCCTAAGCAAAATGCCGTGGAAGAGAACGCTCCCGCCCCATGTTATCGAGGTGAAGTTGGAGGAGCAGCCCCCTAGCGAACCCATCGACGGCGACGGCGAGGAGGAAATAAGTCAAGACGAAGAAGAGGAGGACGAAGATGAAGATGAAGATGATGAAGATGAAGATGAAGATGACGAAGAAGAGGATGAGGAGGAAAATAATGAAGTCGAGGACGAAGAGGAGGAGGACTTCTCGAGCAAAGAATCCATCCGTAAGCTACTCGAGCCTTTCGGCAAGGAGCAATTGATGGAAATCTTTAAGGAGGCCGTCGTCAAGAATCCCTCTCTCCTCTCCCGTATAATGAATGAGGCCGAGACCGACCCCGTAAACCGCAATATCTTCGTCCATGATCTTGACTGGAACGCCACCTCCGAGGCCTTAGCTGCCGCCTTTTCTCCCTTTGGTCAGATCGAGGATTGCAGGGTCATCAAGAACCAACGCACCGGGCGATGTAAAGGCCATGGTTACGTTCTCTTCCGCACCCGGGCTGCGGCCAAGAGAGCTCTCAAGGATCCCCTGAAGATAATCGGTGGCCGCGCGACCAAATGCCGGCTCGCTTCCTTCGCCCCCTATGCCGCAGCCGTGCAAGCCCGAGCTCCAGCAACAGTTGCTGGAAAGAATTTTCGGGTTGGGCTGCTTAATCCTGCAGCAGGCTTGTCTCCTGCATTGAGTGGGAGAGTTGCTGCTGTTTCTCATCAGCCTTATACAGTTGGAGATGCTGGCATTCCTCCACAGTCTTATGCTGGTCGACCAGTTGGATCAGCTAGGGGATCTGTGGTTAGTGTAAACAGTATAAGCCCGAGTGTAATCGGGAATTATGGATCCCTAGCAGCGCTCCATGGTTTGGGAGCTTACCAGAATTCAGCACCCTCTGCAGCTATCAGGCCTCAGACAGGAGTTGGTTCTTGGGGAGCAAGTGGGTTGGGACCTTTCTACGGGCAGTAAGGTATATGAATTTCATCATCATTTATGAAAGCTTGTTTCTCTACATGGATTCTTCAGGAAATTTTTCATTTATAATTCTGGCTATTTGATGGCTTTTACTGAAAGGCTACTACTTGTGAAATTACTGTTATCATTATGCAAGAAAACATGTGTTTAGGTTCATAAAACTTCCTAGGTAGCATTGTACTAACTCTTTTATTATTTGATACATCTTTAATGCTTTAGTGAGCTTAAGGCTATTTGTGTTTATTCCACTTGCTGTGATTTGGATCACCTATTTCTTTCAGGGGAGAGTTATTGAGCATAGGTGACAACATGATATTAATATTTCTCAAAATCAATTTGGATTACTGTCGGATAGGTCTACTATGGAAACTATACATTTATTGAGAGGTTGATGGAGAACTATAGAGAGAATAAGGGGGATCTACATATGATGTTTATTGATGTAAATAAAACATATGATAAAGTTCTAAGAGAAGTACAATGGAGAGTTAGAGATCTTACAGGACAATATATATCTTGCATTTTTTTTGTTATATGCTTAGTTGTGATATCATTGTTGGAGATCTTATTTAAATTAAATAAAAATATTTTAACTTGTAATGATTTATTATTTGTCTTATTTTGAAGATGAAGAAAAAAATGTTGTTATTTAAAAGGCTTCCTCACAATTAGAAATTTTAAAACGACACACCAATTCCCCCTTCCCCCTCTTGTGTGTGTTGTGCACTTTATCTCTTATCTTTTTCATTTCAATAGATTTTCTACTCATGCCTCTTCCCAATGATAGACTTTACTTTTTGTAAAAAAGAGTACTACAATAATATTCTTTTAGCTACTGCCTATGATGCACATGCACGAACACAGCGACACATATACGACACGACATGGACACTGGACAAGTTAGTTATTAAAAATTATAGAACACAGACACGGGTTGGACACGATATTATAATTTTTATATTTTAAAAATAGTATATAAAAATTGAATAAGTATAATATTAAAAATAATTTAGAAATAATAAGTTATTTAACTATAATTTGTGTTTAAAATGATTAATTTGAAGATGTCGAGAGTCAGGCGTCAATGTCATGTATCAAGAATCGAGAGAGGAGATGACAATGCTATTGTGAAAGTTGTTTTCCTTCCAGGATTGTCCAGGACGAAGTTGGATCGTCCTGGGACGATCGGTATAGGTTGTGAAGAAAATTCTGACAGAGAAGTTCGTCCCAGGACGAACTGGGGTTCGTCTGGACGAAAATTCCTCCCGAGAGAAAATCGTCCCGGGACGATTAGGGATTGTCCAGGACGATCTGCATGGGTTTATATGGAAATGAGATCTTTTTGAAGAGAGAAAAGCCCAGGAGAGAAATTCGAAGGAAAAAGAAGAAAAAGTGATTTTTAGGCGACTTCTGTCCGTTTTCGTCCGTAGCTGCAGCTGAGAAAGTTGACCGACTCGAGGTAATACACATTCCTCTTTTCTCAATTTTCAGAAATGAGGATTTTGACGACTTTTCTGTTTCGGACAATGTTTAAAATTGCGTATTCGGGTATTGAGGCGTTTTTCATTTGTGAGGCGAGGCGTAAGCCTCAAGGCGTTTTGAGGCGTAAGCCTCAAAATCAAAAGATTGCGTAAATACTGATAAAGGTTTTACCGCGTAACTTTTGGTATGTTTCTGAGATGATAATTGTGCACGTTTTGAATATTTTCTGGAATATTTTTACCGGGTATTTTGAATTCTGTGGAGTTTTGATCGAATAATAATTTATCTAGATGTCTGAATTTACTATTTCAGTACAATGAAAGTCTTAGAATGATGTTGTGTACTCTCTGTGGTAATTTGATAAATTTCTGAATCTGTAAATTTTGTGAAAAATTCTGTATACTGCCGTTATGACGCTGATGATTTTTCTGACGAATTCCGATTTTATGATTTGAATGAATTGTTGTGCTGTGATATCAAAAGGGAGTTATGAGGGGTCGAAATCCTTTGGGATTCCGTTGTCTGGGTCCGGGAAATCTGAAAATCTGAGAATCAGTTCTGTTCTGAAAATTTCGTATATCTGTTCTGTTTTGGTGCTTCAAGCACAAAGGGAGACATAAGGGGCCAGAATCTGTTGAGATTTTGTCAGTGTCAGGGGAGGGAGGCATTAGGGGCCAGAATCCGTTGAGATTCTGTCAGTGTCAGGGGAGGGAGGCATAAGGGGCCAGAATCCGTAGAGATTCTGTAAGGGTCTGGGAATCTGAAATCTGATGTGTTCTAATGTTGAAATGTGATTTCATCTGATTTGACATATGTTCTGTACTATTCTGTTTGTTCTGTACGATTCTGTCTGTTTTGTGAATCTGACTTGAATATTCGGTTATGAAGTGAATTCTGTTTTATGTATAAGTGATTTGATTTCTATTTGATCAAATATCTGTATTCTTATGACTATATGATTTCTGTACGATTATTTGAATTATGTACGACTATTTGAATATCTGTTTCTGATATGTTTTCTGATGTAAATTTTTGGAGATTTGGATTGGTGAGTGTAGTATTGCTGAGCTGTTAGCTCATCCTTATTTTCTGCGTGGTTTTCAGGTTCTGGGAAAGGGAAGAAATCTTGGACTAGAAGTTCAGTATCTGATCTGTAATTAGGTATTTTGCACTTTTGATTTTTGTACAGTCATGACTTTTCTGTTCTGTTCTTTCCGTTTATAGCTATGCACTATATTGTACATGATTATTTTGATGAGAAGAAAGAAGAAAAAATAGTGGATGCATTTCTGTATATTTGGATGTTTTTAGCAGCTCTGTATTTTCTGTCTGTTTGTTTGAATATCAAGAAGAAAGTTCTGAAGCAAGTTCCAAAACTAGATCCTGGATTTCAAGTTCCGTCGCGACTCGATGCGAGCGGGATTCGTTCCGGTCGGGTTGGGTTGTGACAAACTTTAGTGGTATCAGAGCAATGGTTTTGGAACTTGTATTGTAAGACAGAGCTATAGGAATTGATCTGTAAGTCTGTCGGGGTAGTTCTAGTTTGTCTGGATTTTTTATTGTGTTATTTTATGTGTATAGTTTTCTGTGTGATTATGGATCAGCCAGACCCAGATATGACTGATGGGCAGAGTGCTAGTTAAGCAGCTCCTATGAAGAGTTCTGCCCCAGTGGTTGGTTCTGATACGGTCTCTCGGTTTGCTACGTTGGTTGCTCAGATGATGAGTGAAACTCAGAATAGAGCCTCTACTATTTGATTTGAGGATATAGATAGACATTTACAGATGTTTTTGAGATTGAAACCTCCGAGATTTGAGGGCACGGTTGAGCCTAGAGCAGCTGAGGAGTGGTTAAGGAGGTTGGAAAAGACCTTTGACGGTATGCAGTGTTCTCCGGACAGGAAGCTACCGTTAGCTATTTTTCTGTTAGATGGTGAAGCTGAGCGCTAGTGGACGGGCCAGCAGGAGGAGAAATTTCAAGGCAAGCTAAACTCTTTGATTACTTGGGAAATTTTTTTAGAGATATTTCGATTGTGGTTTGTACCTCCTTCTACAAGACAGCAAATGCATGAGACTTTTCTGAGGTTGGTTCAAGGGAGCAGGAAAGTGATGCAGTACGAGGCAGAGTTTACTGCTTTGGCCCGATATGCTCCGCAGCTGGTGAGTACTTATGCTGAGAAGTGCTATAGATTTCTGAGGGGACTACGAGATAGTTTGAGGCAGCCCCTGATACCATTTCATATTTCTGATTTTTCTGAGCTTGTTGAGAGAGCTCGACTGATAGGGAACGATTTGATGGCTACTCAGCAGCGGTGGACTGCTAGTAGGAAGAGATTCAGTGGTGATGCTTCTAGTAGTGGTTTTTCTGGATTTGACAAGAAGAGATTTGCTTCTGGAGATTCCAAGAGTGGATAGTCTGTGTCCACTACAGTTTTTGGTAGCGGAAATGTGACCAGTTTTGGGTCAGTCAGTGGTGCACCTGTGTGCCAAATTTGTGGACGACATCATTTTGGCCAGTGCTACAGGACGACTGTTCAGTGTTTTAGATGTGGTCAGACAGGTCATCGGATTGCAGAGTGTCCACAAGTTGGATTTGATCGACGATCTGAGTCCAGATCTGATAGTTTTGCCAGACCAGCAGGAAGGCCGAGGACAGTTCCTCAACGTACTGTTTCTGAGGGATCATCTGGTAGACCTGGTGGATCAGGTTCTGTGGCGAGGAGACCACCTGGCGGTACTCAGAGGGAGTCTGGTAGTTATGTAGCTCCATCTCCAGTTCAACCACGTGTATATAATTTGAATCAACAAGAGACTCGTGATGCTCCGGATGTGGTGACAGGTACGGTTTATATTTCGGAACACCCATGTCGTGTTTTATTTGATTCTGGAGCCAGTCACTCGTTTTTGTTCGAGCGTTGTTTTGATGCTTTTCATCTGGATTCTGTTTTGCTACCGGTTTCTCTTTCTATTCTTTTGCTGGCTGGAAATAATTTGATTTCTCGTAAGTTTTGTTTTTGTGAGACTGAAATTTCTAGCAAGAAATGGAAGTCGAGTTTGATTTTGTTGTCGATTTCTTCGTATGATGTGATTTTGGGCATAGATTGGCTGAGTCTGTATAAGGCTCAGATTGACTGTTTAAAGAAGCAAGTGAGCTTGCTTATGAAGGGTGAGAGATGTGTATTCCAAGAATTAAAAAGCGTTCTCTCCTGTTTGATTTCTGTTTTGGAAGTTAGAAGAATGTGGAAGAAGGGTTGTATGGTATTTTTGGCTTCAGAACGAAATATGAACATGGATGCGGGTTTTGTTTCTGATATCCCAATGGTACGAGAGTTTTTAGATGTATTTACTAATTAGTTGGTTGGTTTGCCTCCGGATAGAGATGTTGAGTTTTGTATTGATGTGTTTCCGAGTACAGCTCCAATATCGAAAGCTCCGTACAGGATGACATCGAAGGAACTTTCAGAATTGAAAGTTCAGCTTCAGGAGTTGGTTGATAGAGGATTTGTTCGTCCTA